CTCTGGGCTGATCTAAGTCTGGGCACGGCTAACTCACAGATCGAACCCTGAAACAACCTCTGGGCTGATCTAAGTCTGGGCACGGCTAACTCACAGATCGAACCTTGAAACAACCTCTGGGCTGATCTAAGTCAGGGCATGGCTAACTCACAGATCGAACCCTGAAACAACCTCTGGGCTGATCTAAGTCAGGGAATGGCTAACTCACAGATCGAACCCTGAAACAAGCTCTGGGCTGATCTAAGTCAGGGCACTACAAAAACACTACACTTACTTGAACTTTGAACAATCAACCATGAACAGTCGAGTCTCCCACCACGAGGTTCCAAGGCCGTCATCGGTTGTCATCCCCTTCGGCAATAATAATAATCAATAATCAAATAATAATAATAATAATCAATAATCAAATAATAATAATCAATAATCGGAGTACTGCGAGATTTTGTTGTTCAAACGTTGATTGGTTCCGAAGTTTGTTCATTGTTTCGTATTGTTTATTATTGATGATTGCTAATTGGTTCCGAAGTTAATCACAATGCCTCGAAACCCTTTCGACTAATTCCGAATGCTTGCCGAGTCACACTCACTCTTACGGACGGACACAACTCGAGGACTTAGTGGCTTCGCCTCTTCGAAGCAGTAGCCACAAAAATTGAGCTCTGGTATTTCTTTAGAAAAACGAGGCAGCAATCAAAATATGAACCAGAGATTTTTAATCTTAGTTCTCACCTGTGCTTATGTATTTTTTCAGTTGCTGTACTAGTAGCTGTAGTAGCTGGTGTTATTCTCTATGGTTGTACACACTATGATCCAAGAGCCTTGGTTATCAGTGCTGTTATTGGTGCCTTACTCATCTACTTGACTTACAGGGCATATATGATGTGGTGTAAGTGTATTGATGTATATATTATGAGGGTTCATTGCTGTTATTGGTGCCTTATTCATCTACTTGACTTACAGGGCATACATGATGTGGTGTAAGTGTATTGACGCATATATTATATTAATACGAGGATTCAGTGCTGCTCATACTGGGCATACATTATATCTTGTATGTCACGTCTCTAGTTTATCATTTAGTCTACTGTAGATCCCTTAGCATATCGTTAGTTAATTGTTTAACTCCTTTTTTAGCATCATTTTTGAGTTTGTTATTAACCCTAAGTACTTATGTTGAAATACGAGCCTTAAGCGTCCTTTTCGAAGCCACATGTCAGGAGTAAACAAGTCAGGAGTCATAACCAGGAGTTTTAGGAGTTCTTTTTAGGAGTTTCCTTCTAGTTGTCAAGTAGCATCAGACGTAAGTCAATTCTATATTTTCTCATACTGTTTCCTTCATTGCTGTTATAATTTTCTTTGTGGTGTATTAAGTCGTACCTTAGTTTCTACCTCCTCGTCCACACACTCATATTGCGTTGTTGTTCTAGTTTTCACCGTTTTGTAATCAAATAAAATCTTTACAAGACTGGTTGGACACTAAGCGTTCTCCATGAAAGCTGGGATCGCGACATTGTAAATGTGGTGTTTTTTGAAGGAGATAGCTAGGACAGGCTTTCCTCTTTCAGTTTCTTTTTAACAGTTTGATAAATACACATACCCTTCAACTCCCGTTTCATACAACAACTCCAGCTCGCGCTATAATCCTGTACCCACAACTTCGCTATTCAAATTAAACAGCCTAGGAAATCAGCAATCCAGAAAAATTATTGGAACTTGTAGATAAATAGAATCACCGTGAAAAGGTTGACAGAACTGCAATCGTCGGACGTCCGAAAGGTCAGGTCTATACTCCTTTTCACGGTGATTCAATTTACTCTACAAGTTTCAGCAGTTTTATTCAAAAACACCGACGCAGTTCACGCTAGTATTCTACTAGTTATCATCTACTCGTTAATCCAGAAAAATTGTTTTTTCAGTTACGAACCATGACGTACACATGGTTCGCACAGGCCTTGAAAAGTCCTTAAAAATGCATTCGGTACTTGAAAACTCCTTCAATTCTAAAATTTTGATTTTTGTCCTTGAAAAGTCCTGGTATTTTTCTTTTGACTCCTTGAATAATTAATTTTTATCCTGGGAATTTCTTGGGTACTATCTAAAATAATTTTTTTCATCTTTAGAAAGAGGAAAACCTTGGCTAAAATTGGAAAAATAATTAAAATAAAACAGTAATTTCCGGTTGTTTTGCGGTATTGTGGGTAATTTTCAAGATGGCGTAGGGCTCTTTCAAATTTGGTAATTAAGCTACCCCCTATCCAATGCTAATTCCAAGTAAACACGAGTACGGCATGTTTAAATACGGTTACTATTTCGCTTCACTGGTTCTTTCCTGTCCTTGTAGTCCTTGAAAATGACCATTAAATCCTTGAAAAGTCCTGGAATGTTTTTTCTTAAATTACTGTGCGAACCATGCGTACAGGACCAACACTCAGGGTCTTAAAATAACTGAGGAGAAGGTGCTGCTTTTGTAATTGCATCTGCAAATGTTTAAATCTTCTAAGTCAGTTCCTTGACAAGGACTAAAACCATAAGCCCTGTCTGTCTCCACTTACCCTGTATGATGACAACAATCTTCGAAATCTGTTGTGTTGTCCTGTCCCCAGGGGAAAAAGCCAAATAAAATAAAATCATGAGCCACACGTTTAATCTACGCATTTGTATTTTCTGTGCGGGTGTGGGATAAGATAATCATACAATGTTTTCTCGTGTTTTCTTGTCACATTGTATTTTCTTGTAGTGCTCACTCAAATCATGTTGTGCATACTAAAAGATACAAGTGACGCATGGGTTATTCCATGGTATACCACTCGACACCATAGGCATTGTAGAAGTAACTAGTATATACTGTATTCACAAGTTATTTATGTTAAAACACGAACGAGCGGGTCACGATGACGATAGACGTTCATTTTGCAATATCTTTTTTCTTATGTTTTCTTCTAACTCTGCTGAAACACAGTGCAACAATGCATGCAACATTACACGCAGCTGGACTGTTACAGCATGTGTCTACCCCAAGCTTGTTGCACGCAACAAACCTGAAGTTGAATTGCGCTCTACTCTTGCAACATTGCGCGCAACAAATTTCATCATGTGAACATGGCTGCAACCTTTTTGAAATCAGCCAATCAGCTTGCACCAAATTTATAACTGCTGACCAAATATCTTAGCATAGTAGGCTGACACAAGCGATGTTGCATGATTTTGTTGCAAATGTGTCACCCCGATTCAAATTTGTTGCTTGCAATGTTGCACCGTGTTTAAGCACCTTGATATCATATCAAATGAGCGTTGTTATTCTTTTACAGACATAAATAACTGTAGTCAAGCATTAAAATCATCCGTCGAAATACGAACAGAATCATCCAAAATGATGCCTTCCCATGACGGTCGTAGTGTAAAGACTGACAACATCTTCACCAATCTGACAGTATATTATGCAGATGAAAAACAAGAGAAAAAAGAGCAAGCAAAAGACCTGGGTAGAAGTGAACAGCTGCAGGAATACACCAAAAGAACGATGAGTTGTAAAGTTGAGAAATACGAAGATATTTTCATTGACATGAAAGGAGAAAATCCAAAATTACTTCTTACCGGTAAAGCCGGGATAGGTAAAACCTTACTTTGTGAGAAAGTCATACGAGATTGGTCTATGAATAGAWTATTTCAAAAGGAAAACACTCCGAATATTCAGTTTGCCTACCTGTTGAAGTTCCGTCAGCTCAGTTTACAGGGCGACAAAAAGATGAATTTACAAGAACTACTGAATTGTTCGCCCCTTCTTGACCACAATTCAGTCATCAACGATTCATTATTTGAACATTTGATTCAAAATCCCTCCAAGGTACTGATCATCTTGGACGGGTTTGATGAATGTTCAGAAGAGCACCGTAAACAAATCGCTAGCGATTACGAAGAACAATATCCAAATGATTCCAAAGAAAAGATGCCAATCCCWGCACTTTGTTCTAAACTGATCAGAGGAAAAGTTTTAAGAAATTCTGTTGTTCTGGTATCTTCAAGGCCAGGCAAGGCCGAGAAGTTGGGGAAAGTCCAATTTGATCGATACGTAGAAATCTCGGGCTTTTCACCTGAACAAGTAATCGAGTATGTTGACAAATATTTCAGCGAACCAGGAAAAGAACAAACAAAAAAGGTGGTACGCGAACACGTAGAAAAAAATGAGAACCTAATAAGTTTTTGTCATATTCCGCTATCGTCTTTGTTGTTGTGCTGGTGTTTAGAATGGCGAATTAGTCGTTCAGGAATCACAGAAAATCTACCCGATAAAATAACTTATCTTTATGATGAAGTTGTTAAAGTCTTGGTAAAAAAACTTCATGCAAATCTCAAATATTCAGAAATGTCAGAATATGCAAAGAAAATAGCTAACGAAACGATAAATAAACTAGCTAAATTGGCAGCTAATTTACTGAAGGAAAGTAAATATATTTTTGACGAACAAGACATGAAAAAACTAGGCCTTACCGAGGACGAAATTGAAAACTTGAAAGTAAGCGGCATTCTTCATTGTGATCCTGGAATTAGAACTACTCCTCTTCAAACAAAAGCAGAGTTTAGTTTCACTCATTTGACTCTGCAGGAATATCTCTCGTCTTATTTTTTTGTAAAAAATAAAGAAATCCCAGAGAAAGTGAGTGGGCAGACGTTTGTGTTCATGTGTGGACTTTTGTCGAGAAAAAAACATGGAGAGAAGCTAATGAATAAACTAATCCAACAGGTAGCGCCTAAGGATCGTGAAGATAATGTAAATAAACTGCTAATGTTACAGTGTCTGTATGAGTATGGAGAGCAAGAACTAACTAAGCAAACCATAAATAATCTGTACTATAGATACTGTAATAGGTAAAAATGATTATATATTGGACATTAGTGGTTCACCTTTAACCTCGTTTGGTGTTGGTGTTGTTTGTCGTTCACTTGTTCGTAATTCGTTCATAACTGAACTGGACCTAACAGATTGTAGTTTAGATGATAAATGTGTAGAAAAAATAGCTGACTCATTAGTAAACACTGGAATAACCAACCTACACCTATGGGATAATAATATTACAGATGAAGGAGTGAAGAGTATTTGTAGTGTACTAACAGATACTAAAATAACCCTCCTGAAGCTATGGAAGAATAATATTACAGATGAAGGAGTGAAGAGTATTTGTAGTGTACTAACACATACTAAAATAACCTACCTATACCTAGGGTGGAATAATATTACAGATGAAGGAGTGAAGAGTATTTGTAGTGTACTAACACAAACTAAAATAACCCGCCTAGACCTAGGGGATAATAATATTACAGATGAAGGAGCAGAGAGTATTTGTAGGGTTATCACGCAAGCTGATTGTCAAGTAGAATTCTTATCCTTATCTGACAATAAGAAAATAACTGCAGAATGTAAGGAACATGTAAAACAACTTGTAGAAAAACACAAACCTGGTGTTGTTCAATTTCTTATTTAAATGAATGAAAAAAAGAATTATACTGGAATATATCTGTAATTATTTGTACAATATTGTATTAGATAATAAAGTAAATATTGGAGTTTAATCTTGTTTGGACTGAATAATTTCTGTTTTTCTCAACACAAATCCCTTGAAAATAAATGTCAAGTGGTTTGATATCAATACAACTACAAATTGGTTTGAATCAATATTTCCATTGAACAAAGTTAAAAGAGACTTTTTCCCAACAAATAAAGTCTTTTTTTCAGGTTCTTAACAAAGTGAATTTGACTCAGAACAGCAAACAAATACTTGTTTTCTTCTTCAAAATCAAAATATTCCACTTGAAAATGAAAGAACCCCTCCATATTTTCATCATTCTACAGAGTTTCATTGATAAAATAGTCGTTTTAGTTGGTTTTGATTGGTTTTTGTTAATAATACCGCGGTAAAGTAAAAACTTTGTGGTAAAAAATGGCGGCAAATGATCGCTTGTTTTGTTGAGTCGAAGATGGACGAAAAAATGAGTAAAAAAGAAACTGTACTGACAAATATAAGATGGAATTACTAAAATATATGGAAAAATATTGATTCAACAAATCAATTTAAAAGAGAAAAATGTAAAGACCGTTTAAAAGAAGGTTTTACCTTGAATGAGTAGAAAGAAAACATGATTCAAAAACAAGACTTCGTGTTCGCTCGAGTTTATTCAATTTTTCATGATGTACAAAGTTCTTTCTTTATTATTTACAATTTTAAAGCATTTCGATTATTTGACTTGATTTTCCTTCTCAAAACTTAACGGAATTACAACCGAAGAACCAAAATCTGAATTATATGTTAAAAAAACCCGTGAAGACGACAATAAGAAGCAAGTCTAAAATATTTCAGGGATAAAAACACATGGTGTCTCGTAAAAACAGGAATATCAAGAAACGACYGAGTTTTTGCTTACCGTTTGTTTGTTCTTTTAATACAAGATTCTTCCTTCAAAACAACTGAAGATAATAAAGTCCAAACGAAAGTCTCGACGGCCATTTTAGAGTCTGACAAACTCGAAGCTGAAAGTATTAATTTCCATGCTTTTTATCCCTTTAAAAGTATGATCCAAAAAGATTTACTAGCTGAGGTATTCACTCCCAATTTGTTTGGTTTTGCAAGTCAGTAAAGTGTTGAGAAAGGAGGAATAATCCAGTAGATATTCTTGGTTCAAAGAACAAGAAAATACTAAACCAACTTTGAACTCTTTGGACCAACAACCAGTCACGTGGGACAAAGAGCGGGAAAATCATCAACGCTGATTGTATGACACACTAGATTATAATASACCATCCTCGTGAAGGGTTTCAGCCCCGATTTGCAATAATGATTATTATTAATGATTGTAATAATATAATAAAGGGATATACATGAGGAATAGGAGTAATGCACTTGCCAAACCACAGGAAGACCAAGATCAAATGAGACCCAAAATCAATGCTGGCTCTCCCATTAGTCATACAGGGATAAGGATATTTGTCTGAATGAGGRATTCATTTGTCAATAAATATCTGGTACGTGGAAAAGTTCAATCATAAGACTATCCAAATTATGAGTATGACGTGTGTGTAAAAAAATAAATCGAAAGAGAAAGAACTAACGGATGAATACAGCCATCTCTTTTATTTCAAAGACAATGAAATAGCTGTAACATTTTTACCTACAACTAAATCTGATCAACGCAAAGATAGCGAAAAGTTATCCACCTACAAGATCTCTAAATGCTATTGGCTAATCTGTAATATACAATATTATTAGTATAGAACGAGATAGTAGTTAGTGCACCTTAATTCATGATTACGTGACCAAGACCACTCCAGACCTCTGGTGTTTCCATTCCGTCAATCAAAATATTTATCATTTCAGATTGGATTAATTTTGATGAAAGAAATTTGAGAACCAAACATCTAGAGACGGCCTGTGACGTCATCATGCAAATTGGTGTAAAACTGTAGTGAACATTACTTTACAGGATAACACGACGCAAGTTAGCATAACACAGGGAGGATTTGATCCGTAACGACTGAAAAACATGGTGCACGGTCACGGTACGGTAATGACCAACCGCAAGGCGTCTATTTTTTGTTCGTCCAATCAGAATGCACGGATGTTATGTGGTCTCGATGAGGCACACCGCACCCATACTAGATCTCCTCTAACATGACTAATAATAATAACGTAGCATGGCATAAGACACTGAAGCAAGACAACACAGGACACAATGGGTAATACCCTTACAGTAACGCTTTATATGCAGTACTTGTATGGCTAAATAAAAGACAAATCTATTGTAAGCATTGAAGTCCAGACCTTTTAGTCCAGGATTAGGACCACAGGAGGCCCAAATATGGCAAAAGCCTTCCCTGCGTAATAAACGAAAAATGTAGGACAAATGGAATAGCAATGAATGGAACGATTTAGCCTTCTTGATAGGCACCGGAAATACGTCACATCATTGTTTTCTAATAATCTATATATCAGGATAATAATAATCCTCAACTAGTTGAGTAAGTTAACCCTCAGGTCAACTCTGTCTTGGTCAATAGATGTTAGTTTCTGACCAGGAGAGCTCTATTGTCTCCTTAAACTTGACTGGGTCAAGCTGCTGGCTTGGTATCATGTASTCTYGTTTGCTSAACTCATACGGTACAAATTCAGCAATTTGAGTTGGACATTCCCAACAAATATCTTGGTTGGTTTATGTAACAGTTTACCAGCTGGATGGTGGTGTTTGTGTATCCTATAGCTAAAGGCTCAATCTAGACAAATGGTATTGCCATTTAGGAAGGTTGAAGCTTGAAACAACAGTAGGCTGGTCCAGTAATGAGTGCCAAGCTGGTTAGTTGATGGTAAGTGGTTGGTTAGTTGATGGTAAGTGGTTGGTTAGT